AGGGACATCTGTTGGCAGCATGAGATGCAAAAGCTGTGGCTTCTATTTACTTTCTAAAGGCCTTCAGGTTCTTTCTGGCTTGGTCTGGTGGAACAAGAACTTTGATGGGTGATGGTCATTAAGTTTAAGTGGTAGCCAAAGTCAGGCTTAACAATGTCAGATTACTTCTGAATGATTAGTTTCACACTTTCATATGAAATCTGAATATATGATGTTTTCTTTGATCTGAAAGAGGAGTTTGCTTGTTTTGATGGATTCAGACTCACCAGAAAAAGTGAAATCATCACAGAAACGCTTTAAAGATGGCCAGACATGCTTAAAGTGGGTTTTTCTCCTCACTTTGGAGACATTAAACAGAGGAATAGTTTACACCTGTAGAACAGAGGGGAGCAGCAAAAAGGCCAAAAGAGGAAGCACATTTCAGTCATTTCCTGTCACAACCGCCTACTTCAGCTGTTTGTTAGTCTGTCTGTATCCTAGTGAACACTTTGTCATCTTGTTATTTTGGCTGTTGTATCTATAAAGTTAACTCAAATTAAACTTGTGCAGATTCCTGCAGTCTTTTTTTATGCCTAATCTATCTATCTATCTATCTATCTATCTATCTATCTATCTATCTATCTATCTATCTATCTATCTATCTATCTATCTATCTATACATCCATTAATTTCCGGTGGTAGACCTGAGAGTGGCGCTAGTGTGTTTCAGTTTCCATCACTTCTACGACTGATCTAAACGCACTAAATCAGGAAAGAGTAATTCCGTTTCTTTCACTGAGGGTTAGGTGAGTAATCCGTAGGTTGGTAGGTAGGACAGGTGTGTTTAGGCAGGAGGTGCGGATAGTCCCGCCGGATGGCTGTGTGTACAGGGTGGTTGTCCGGGACTTGTTGGTGCAGGTTTCCCCGCTGTCAGTGCCATCCATGCAGATCCCCGTATCCGGTGTTCCGCCATTCATCCCGAACATCCAGCTGGAAAACAAGCTCCGTAGGTTTGGCAAACTGGCAAGCGGCTTCCGATCAATCAATTTGGGATGTAAAGATGATAAACTGAAGCATGTCCAGTCTCTGAGGCGGCAGGTATTTATGTTCCTTGAGTCCCCTATACAGACACTGGTGTTGTCCTTCAGGGTGAAACACGGGGATGGGCTGT